GTGGAATTGGGGGAAAAAATATATATATATATGTACTGAATTAGTTCATTATATTTTTATAAGTTTATTTAAGTCTATTTAAGGTATATTAAAAAATAATTAAAATGACCCTTAAACCTTGAACTTTCATTAACTTTAAGTTTATTCAAATTCAAAAACTTATTTTATAATTTAAACTGATTTAGATTATAAAATAATAACTTTTAAATAAGAAATGAGACATTTGATATTGAGTCTTTTCTTCCCCTAAAAGTTTTTATTTTACAATTTCAACTAAAAGCCAACATACTTATCCAAGTTAAGGGGACTCATATATGGTTGATGTGGCATTGTGGGTTTCATATTAAAATTCAATAAAAAAAATTAATTATTACAATTGACTGGGGTTGTTTGGTGGTTCCCTCTAATCTAATGATTAATGATCGTTACTATTAATAATTTAAATATTTTTATTTATTAAATTATATAAAATTACAATTACTAATTATAAAATTACAATTGCTAATTTTAAATTACTATACTGAGTAGGTCTTAATAACCATTTTTAAAGAGAAAATACCAAATGCGTGAGAGTAAAGAGGTAGATGCTATGGAAACTTTAGAGTACAGGGTAGAATGGAGAATGGTTTGAGGAAATAGTTATCATTACCGTACTGTACCATACCATATTGATTGATACGGTTGGTGCGTATCAATTTTTATATTAAACCAAAATAGTATATGATCTAATTTTGTTTCGGTGAAATTTCATTCGTTTCGATCAAATTTTAGTATATCAATCAATATTTTGATGTACCGCCCGGTATGCTAAAATTGATTGGTACCACTCATTTCAAATTTAAAAAAAGTAAGTTTCATTTTTTGTCATTAACTTTAATGTTTTATATCATTTTCATCTTTTAACTTTTTATATACTTTTTTAGTCTATAAACTTTAATGTTCTATATCATTTTCATTTTTTAATTTTTTATATACTTTTTTAATCCATCAACTATGAAAAATGTATTTTTTTAATCCTTATATCAATTACTCAGTTAAGTTCATTTAAATATATACATTTTTAGCCCTTAACTTAAAGTTGATGGACAAAAAATATACATATATTAGAAGTTGAGAAATTAAAAATTATTATTTTAAATTTATTTTTAATTTATAAGAATATGATGATTTTAAATATTAATATCTCTTATTTTATTTTAAAATTTAATATTTAATTTATAAAAATATATATTTACAGCGATAAATTAAAAACGATACACAAAAAATTTTGATATATAACAAGTATTTTTTCAATAACAAAATTAGTACGGATGCTGCACGGTATTGATAACTTTATAAATACAAGCAGTACTTTGAACGATTGTAAGAATAGGAAGTACAGGAAGTACATTAAAAGGGCTATAGTTTACTATTGTTGGGAAAAAATTGACGCAACGGAATAAATTATTTCCTGTGACCAAACATGTGAACAATAACAAATAAATGGTGAAATAGGCGACTTAACCAACTAATATTAACGGTTAGTGAAAAAAATAGCATAGTCAGTCAAGCAAAATCAAACGGGCGGTTTAACCAGCTGCTTAAAAAGAAAAACAAATAATAAGATGACATCAAATTTTATGTAAAAATACCCTCTCAAAACTATTGAGGGGAAAATCATGGGACAAACTCCGAAAAGTATTTCATTATGTGATAAAATTGTACAGAGTATACACTCAAATATTTTTTCTCTCTCTTGATGTTTCCCACTCCCCCAACATATAATCACAATCCTAATAAACTCACAATTTTATCACTCAATGTACTCTTTATAAGAATCACTCTTACATCTAAACTTTTAATGCCTATCTCTCAACCTCCCCCGCGCCCAGGATAAAAAACCCAATCACCCGGTGCAAGTTTTCTACCTCATTAAATGAGGTTCATTAAATGAGGTTCATTTACAGTTGTTGAAATAACCATCGTAAATATTCAACAATAACTGCTGTAGCTTACAGCCTTTTGCACTAGGGTGATAGAAATGGGGTTGGACTTTCATGGAATGGAACTAGAAGCTTCTGCCAACGACTATAACTTATTATTTTCGTAAGTCATGAACATTATTTGCGTGGCCGTGACGGCCATAATGGCAGCCACTGGTGTCCCTATCGTTATCGGAAAATTGTAACCGCGTTATACGTCCGCTCCGTTTTAAAGAGTAGCATGCTGCTCATCGTTGGATGACAACCCCGCATTCTCCGACGTCGAGACTCATAAGGAGGCGCTCTCCTCCTGCTGCTGCTTCCTCCTCCGTCTCAATTTCCTTTGTCAGCTCCTCCTCCGCCGTTTCTGCTGCTACCATGCTCCACGAATCCTCCACCACGCTCCTCGCCCGCCCCACTCTCATCTTTGCCTTCCTCGCCTTCTCCGGCTTCCTCCTCTACGCATCCACCGATTCCCTCCGCTTCCGCCGTCTATCCTCGTCTTTTCCTAGCATTTTCCCTTCCACCGTCAATGACAGTGTGGCTGTGTCTTTGGTACGTTTAGTTTTCGCTTTCCTTTCTGTGATGGAAAGAGTTATTCCAATATTCAATCGTTGATACTGAAATTTAATTTTCTAGTAAAGAATATGGTTATAAACAGTGTGGATTTGGATGAATTAGTGTTTATTTACAGAATTTCTTGATTTTCAATTGAAATCATTGTAGGAGAAAGAGCGACCAAAACTTGAAAGAATCTTGAAGGAAGCTGCCATGCACAATACCACTGTGATTTTAACAACTTTGAACCAAGCATGGTCCGCTCCGAATTCTGTCATAGACCTTTTCCTAAGGAGTTTTAGGCTTGGTAATGGCACTGAGAGACTCTTGAACCACTTAGTCATCATTGCCTTGGATCAAAAGGCATTTGAACGCTGTCTTGTTGTGCATAGGCATTGCTTTGCTCTTGTCACTGAAGGAATCGATTTTCATCAAGAAGCATACTTTATGACTCAAGCCTACTTGAAGATGATGTGGACAAGGATTGAATTTCTGCTGTTCGTCCTTGAAATGGGATATGATTTTGTTTTCACGGTAACTGATTTGTTTACTTCCTGTCCTAAACTACATAATACCTGGGAAAGCTTTGTTTCATCATTTGAATTCTTTATGTGTGAGAGCTGGTGCTCTTTTGTTTTTGTTCCCCCAGCATGCATATAACCAAATGGTTCTTTGTTTCTTTGTTTGTTGACTGCTAAAAGATTGAAGTTAATACTTCTTAGTTTGCAACTGAGACAGCATTTTTTTGACTAATTGTGATCTAAGTTAATTGGAATTTTTGACTAATTGTGATCGAAGACAGCATTGTCCTTAATCTTTATGCAAGGATGGAATTTTTGGGTGATATGGAAATTAGTTTCTTGATATATATTTTAATTATTCCAACTAGTTGAGTCTTGTTGAAAACACTTGTCTGCATATCAAATCTGTTTTGGTTGGTTTTGTTATTCAGGATGCTGATATCATGTGGTTCAGGGATCCCTTTCCGCGTTTTTATTTGGATGCTGATTTCCAGATTGCATGTGATTCTTTTCGGGGCAACCCTGATGATATGCGGAACAAGCCCAATGGAGGATTTAACTATGTGAAGTCCAACAACCGGTCAATAGAGTTTTACAAATTTTGGTACTCTGCTCGTAAAACTTATCCAGGTTATCATGATCAAAACGTACTTAATTTAATCAAGTTTGATCCTTTCATCTCAAAAATTGGAATTAGGATAAAATTTTTAAATACTGCTTTCTTTGGTGGGCTTTGTGAAGCTAGCAAAGACTTGAATTTAGTTTGTACAATGCATGCAAATTGTTGTCTTGGCTTGGATAACAAGCTTAATGACCTAAGACTTATGCTTCAAGACTGGAGGGCTTTTATTTCATTACCACTAGATCTGAAGAATGAATCGGTTATATCATGGAGGGCTCCCCAGAAATGCAGGTAGATCCAACTGAAGCTTTAATTTTTATGACAAAATCTAAGGTCTGTACTGTTTTGGTAACTTATCAAGGTATGCAGTGCATGTTATTATCTGAAGCTTTTCCCTTAAAATGAGTTCCTTTTTTTTTTTTTTTTTTCTTGTGTTAATTCAAATAGTGAAAGCATGAAAACCCCAATTTTGACTTATACGCATTGAAACATGCACAAGACTAATGTGTTTCCTGTGCGTTCTTCCAATGTAATTTTGGTTTGGGGACTTAAATGTCATTTGAGTATTCTTAAAGACTATTGACCTTAAATCCAATTTAGATAATCCTAGTGTGGGTGCACGAAAATTCCAATGATCCAATGCCGAAGTTGTTCCCACAGTAAGCACTAAGCACACGTCCTGCTGTGTCCGCTCAGACCGTCAGATGCTTTACCACTTTTCCTCAAATAAAAAACAAAAAAATATGACCGGTAAAAAAGTTGGCTCTCTCTCTACTTTCTCTCTCATGCAACAGTCTCAGAATCTTTGTTATAGTTTGCAGGAATCTGATCTCTTGAATAGTTCAGTGAAACGAATTAAAAGTAATGATCATCCACCGATCGGGGAAGAATTCTTGATGCAGGAACCGATTGCAAGACCAATGTCGTACAGGGCATGACCTCTATTACTTGTTGTGATAACTTAAGGAGAGATGATTTCCTTGAGGGGGATTCTGAAATGGAGGATGATGGATCCATCCCTACCATATTAATTTCCGAGGAAGAGAAAAGAAGGAAAAGGTCTCCTTGGCTTACTTCTATCATCATCAAAGCCAAAGTAAAAAATGGGCTGCATTGATTTGGGGCTTGACTTCTTCTTGATTCGATTTCAAGAAAGAGAGGATCTTTCTCCATGGAGGTCCTTGGTTTGTAGGACCGTATTTCCTCACGATCAAAAAATGGGAACCTTCTTTTAATCTAGAAAAAGCCACATTCAAGACTACTGTTATATGCGCAAGGCTCGTAAGGCTTCTTATTGAGTATTATGACTTTCAAATCTGAGAAAAGATTGGAAAGATGTTAGGTACTTCTCTACGGATCGATGCAACTCACCAACCCAGAGATCAATATACCCGTATTTGTATTCAAGTTTATTTAGATGAGCCTTTAGTTCCCTGTGTTAGAATTGGGAATCATGTTAAGGTTCTTTACAAGGGACCTACCACGCTGTGTTTCTCTCATGGCTATGTCGGGCATAAAGAAAACCACTGCCCATTAAAGATCACACAGAGCACTACAATTAATGAGAAGATGGAGGTACTCAACCCCAAGTGAGTTCTGATGAAAGATAAGAAGTTGAGCATGATGATTCTTAAGCTATTGATCCTTGGATGCTAGTGGAAAGGAAGCAAAATAAGAAGAAATCAAGCAATATTGCGAAAGCCAATCAACTCAATATGACATTGGACAAAGAAAGTGGTCAAATTCATGCTAGCCCAGCGAGTTGACACAGTCGGTGGAGAACTATATATATATATATATATAGCCCAGCGAGTTGACACAGTCGGTGGAGAACTATATATATATTAATGAAGATTGTTCCTTGCAGGCCCAACCCACAAAAGGAGAAGATAAGATTGATTCGAATAACATCTCAACTAATATACTGTCATACGTGGAAAGACAGCCAACCTTGGGAGAGTTGAGAGCCACAGTAAGAGTCAACCCAATGTCAAGAACAATCCGTCTGAGAGATCAGCCTGCACCAATACAGCACTGGATAATGGATCCGATAACATTCACAATGCTCAACCATGTTTGGGACGTTTATCTAGTCAAACAACGACAACAAAGTTCTGCGGATGGAGGAGGCTCTTTCAATGATCCTGGGCAAAGACCCAACACCGAGGGAAGGCTGCTCCGTCAAAGAACTGGGAAAATGCTGGCTCAAGCCGATCTTGGTCAGGAGAGGAGTAGATCCCACTCCATTCCTTACATCACCGAGGAAACAAGAGCATCTATACATGCATACTGAATTTGTGCATAGGTGAGAGAATCATTATCCCATGGACTTAAGGTAACATTCGTAGGCTTCTCCATGTCCCACTTCAAAACCTCCCTCGCAAGCGCCTTCAACCCCCATCCGCTCAAAATCTTTCCTGCACCACCTCATGGCGCCCAATGTTTGAAGATCAACCACATTCCTTACCCGTAATCCATAATCCTTCTGAAGCTTCTTACCGTCTCCACCAACCCCCACGCCCACAAAACTGTAACAAGGATTAGCCATGAAATCAACAAGGGAAACGGGTATCTCCGTGTCGAAGAGGAGCTTCACGATGAGGCAAGTTTCTCCAGCACACAATTGCAAAGTCGCTGCGGGGTTGTTGAGGTTGAGATTGGGACCCCATTCTATGTCGAGACTGATGAGGTGTTCAGTCTACCATGATCGGACATTCTTGATCCAGAGATCAACCGTTGACCGGCCACTAGTGACAACCGTCTCCACGCTCCTTCTAGAGAAAGAGACCATATGGAGATCGGACAGTGGAGACGTCGACAACGAAGCAATGCTGGAAGTAGACAGCACCATAACTATAGAACAGAGAAAGCATGACAAAATTTGTCAATCATACGATCTCTAATAGAGTTTGTGATAAATAAACAGTTATCAGTCTTCTAGTCGGTAAGTGTTAGGGTTCTTTTTTATAGCAGATAAGATGCTTAGGTTAATTGGTTAGGATTTCGAACCACACCAACGTCTTGAAAAATTTCCCTCTCCCAATCTCTCAAAATTGTAAACTGTTCAAAAAAAAAAAAAGATTACTTCATAATCTGAAAATTGGGATTTAGTTGAGCAATTCCCATATGTTAGGGTTGATAGCATTTTCATGAATGATTTAATTGTAGATATAGTGGTTTTTGTTTTTAATACCTTGTTTTACTTATTGGAGATGATGTTAGTGTTGCAAACAATATGGGTCACAATTGACTAGTGATGAGCTTCGGGAATTCGATGTTCTCAGTGAGGATTATGAGATAAAGTGGCATTTGAAACATATCAGAAGCAAGATGAACCCGACTAGAGAAGAGTTGAATCAAGGTCGGTTAGAGTAAAGAACCGTAGGCGAGCTTACTTGAATAAGCTCATACTTGATGGCCAGTACTTTTCAGAGGATGCAATGAGAGAGAGGGAGCCTTATTTACATCATGAGTATGTAGGAGGTTTCAGGACCCAGTGGCAGGAGTATGGCTCGGCCAGGGGAGCGGTGGTCAGAGACGTTGATGAGGAGGTCGGAGGAAGCTGTGCTGGTTGCTAGGATTAGGGAAGAGCAATAGAGGCACGGTGTGGTTGAGACAGACTGGGTTGGCAATGAGAGACGCCAACAAGAGGAAGAGGAAGAAGAAGAAGAAGAAGAAGAAGAAGTGAAGAAGGCTGGCAGATGCGTGCATTCCACAGAGGTAAGATTTGGGTGCTTTATCTTCTTTTAACCAGTATATGCCAGTTAATATATGGGTGTTACTATCAAATATCATATTGTTCCACACATATGATGAATTTGAACTTTTGTGCCTTGGGCTGGTAGTCAGAAAACTTGGCTAATTTACTATGTTAGCTGGTTGATGAGTCCTCTCTTAATAAGCAGTGAAGTTGACATCGATTAGTATACTTAACTATTCCAATTAGGTAGATTCCTTTCCTCACTGGCATGAATATTGTTCAATGATCTCCCCAAAGAAGAACACTTTCTATTCTGGTTGTCATTGTTTATTGCTATATTTGCAACAATGTAGAAAATTTTACTTTATCGACTAAATGAAGATAAATTATTATTCTTTTGCTTATGGCGTGGTCCTTGTGGAGAATGGACAACCAAAAATTGCTTTAACAAAAGAAAATAGAGCAGAAAGATTAGCCAATCGATGTGCTAATAACCTGTATATATCATTAATATCTTAAAATTATCTACTCAGATATTTTGCTATGGGCTAATGAATCTTTCTCTCATATAATGATGTGCTATTTTTTCTGATGGGAAATGTGAACTCGATTCTTGTCTTTGTTCCATATTAATTGAGATTTTACTTTTGTGACTTTCAGATGATTGTGGACCATCCTGGTGAAAATGATTGTGCTCAATCCACCATTATGGAGCAAAAAGAGGAAATAGTTTCATCTGAAGATATGCAAGATGGGATGGATCAGTTTACCTACATCATGCAGCAGAAGTTTCTCTCTGGGGGAGATCATCAGTATTTAGATTACTCAAAAATAGATGAAGATGAGACCTTGGATGATCATTGGCTTAGAGAAGTTAACCATGATGCTGAGGAGAAGTACTTTGCCGATGATTAAGAACAAAAGGCTAGATTAACATATAATTAAACTGTCAGAACTAGCCCCTTGTTCATTGGCAGGTATTTGTTCGTGTAACTTTAAACCTTTTTGCTTGAAACTATGAATGGTATGTGATCAAGTTGTTTAGAAAATCTGAGGCTATTGTGCAAATCTGACTACCATCAGGCCTAGATTTGGAATTACGTTCTTGAATGATTTGCCTTCTTAGGCAGCAGAGAGAATTACTAGTTAGGAATTGGAAGGTTAGGCAGGAAAAAACTTACCCAAGCTGGAATATA